CTCCCGGTTCGGACCGGATTGCCTGATCCGGTAGCGATGGAGGTGGGTGGTTCGGAGAACCAGTAGTAAAAATCCCTGCTCCCCCCATTGCCCAGCTGAGCCACGCAATCATCAGAGGCTTTTTTTTATTTTTAAAAGCATTTTTTCAACAACCTCTTTGGCTGAAAAAATGCTTTTAAAAGTAAAAAAAAAGCCTATGATGATCGCGCGGCTCAGCTGGGATCATCAGAGCCTTTTAAAAGCATTTTTTCTACAACCTCTTTGGCCGAAGGGAAAAAAAGCCTCTGCTGATCAGGCAAGTCAGCTGGGATCATCAGAGGCTTTAAAAGCATTTTTTCTGGTTGTACAAAAAATGGTTTTAAAAGTTAAAAAAAAAAAGTTGGCCACCCCCACTCAGTCATACCACCATACCCCACCACCAAGCCACACCCACAGAACCGGTAGTAACAAATTTTACAGTTCACCACTGCCTCCACGTGTCATGTTTTCATACTCCCTGGCCCCGAGAAGCACTCTGCAGGCCAAAAACAGGCATGTTTTTGGCAAAAACGGGCCCATTGTCAGCAAAAACGGGCCATGTGAAGCACTGCAAAGTGCTTCTGGAGGCCTGGGAGGGTGAAAACATGATGCAGAGACAGTTCAGGAGCCCAAAAATGGACCCATTTTTGGCAAAAACAGGCCATGTGGAACACTGCAGAGTACTTCTGGGAAGGCGAAAATCCGACAGGTGGAAGCCAAAACCTATTTTTTTTCTTGTTTTCCTCCTGTAAATTTAGGTATGTCTTATAGTTTGAAAAATACGGTAATTTGTAATAAATCCTGGATGAATCCTTTGAGCAGGAAAGCATGAAAACCTTATGCAATAGAGTAACACGTTATTCTTGATGAACAAGAGCAGAGGGATAGTCTGTAGTACCGATAGTTCTTAAGGTCATCAGCTACACTACTTATGTTTGGACCAATGGTGAAATCCAATTTTTTTTACTACTGGTTCTGTGGGCGTGGCTTGGTGGGCATGGTAGGGGAAGGATACTGCAAAATCTCCATTCCCACCCCACTCCAGGGGAAGGATACTGCAAAATCTCCATTCCTTTCTTTCTTTCTTTCTTTTATTGAATTTGTATACCGCCCTACTCCCGAAGGACTCAGGGTGGTGAACAGCCATGGAATAAAACATATAAATACAAAATTTAAAATAAATTAAAACGAATTAAATAATTTGGCTGAACAAATTTAAAACCCCAATAATTTAAAACCAGATTTAAAATTTCCATTTAAAAAGGGGAAAGACTTAGGTCAGGCCGGCTTGGTGAAATAGGAAGGTCTTAAGCGCGCGACGGAAGGTACGCAGATCCGGGATCCTCCGTATCTCCGGGGGGAGCTCGTTCCAGATAGTAGGTGCCTCCACAGAAAAGGCTCTCCCCCTGGGGGCCGCCAGTCGACATTGTTTGGCCGACGGCACCCAGAGGAGCCCCTCTCTATGGGAGCGTACTGGTCGGTGGGAGGCTATTGGTGGTAGCAGGTGGTCCCGTAAATAACCAGGTCCTAAGCCATGGAGCGCTCTAAAGGTGATAACCAAAACCTTGAAGCGCACTCGGAAGACCACCGGGAGCCAGTGCAGCTCGCGCAGGAGAGGTGTTACAATGGAGCGCCACGTCGCTCCCGTCACCACCCGCATGGCTGCACTCTGCGCCAGTTGGAGCCTCCGAGTGCTCCTCAAGGGGAGCCCCATGTAGAGAGCGTTACAATAGTCCAGACGGGAGGTGACGAGGGCATGAGTGACCGTGCGTAAGGAGTCCCGATCTAGAAAGGGACGCAACTGGCGAATCAGGTGAACCTGATGAAAAATCCTCCCGGTCACGGCCGTCAAGTGTTTCCACCCCACTCTGGGGCCAGCCAGAGGTGGTATTTGCCTGTTCTCCAAACTACTAAAATTTTCCGCTACCAGTTCTCCAAACTGCTCAAAATTTCTGCTACCGGTTCTCCAGAAACTGTCAGAACCTGCTGGATTTCACCCCTGTGGTGGACCATATGCATAACAGAAGACAGCTACCTCATGTGTTTGTGTGACTTGGGGAGGCCGGGAGGCAAGAGGGATGTAAGAAAAAAAATTAACATAGTAGTCATACCAGTAAAATTAAAGTCCCATCCCTTTTTTACATGTGTCTGACACACATGCCATATTAAGACCACAGTTAGAATACTGCATCCAGTTTTGGTCATCACACTACAAAAAAAGATGTTGAGACTTTGGAAAAAGTGCAATGAAGAGCAATTAAGATGATTAAAGGCCTGGGGACAAAAAACATATGAAGAACGGTTGCAGGCATTGGGTATGGCCAGTCTAAAGGGAAAAAAGGACTGGGTGGGTGGGTGGGAACATGAGGGCAGTATTCCAGTATTTGAGGGGCTGCCACAAAGAAGAGGGATCAACCTCTTTTCCAAAGCACCAGAAGGCAAGACAAGAAACAATGGATGGAAATCCATCAAGAAGGGAAGCAACCTGGAACTAAGGAGAAATTTCCTAGCAGAACAATTAATCAGTGGAATGGCTTCCCTTCAAAAGTTGTGGGTGCTCCATCACTGGAGATATTTAAGAAGAGACTGGATAACCACTTGTCAGAAATGGTATAGGGTCTCCTGTTCGAGCAGAGGGTTGGATTAGAAGACCTCCCAGATCCCTTTCAACTTGGTTATTCTGTTAAAAGATGATAGCATGTTCGTGTCCTGATGGCTGCCATGTTGACTTTTCAACCCCAAATTTGCTTCTGTTCCTGGAATAAATCTGACTTAGTTTCTTGGGATGTTCTTAGAAGGACTTGAAATAATGATCAAGCTTGGCTAAAAGCAAAATCCATTCCTATCAAGAAAAACAAATATATATATATATCAATTATTCAGCACCAGATTACACAGGATCCTAAAAGTTGTGGCTTTTTTTTTTTCAACCCCTCTGCCAGTTTTCACAGCATTTATCCTGTGCACTTCATTTCCTAATTGTTTTCCTGGTGTTTGTTTATTAGTTTTGGAATTAAATTCTGCCATGGCGACAGCTCAGCTCAGTTGAGCTGGCTGTCTATGGGGGCTCGTGGAAATTTTGGCAGAAACATGTTAACATCTGTTCCTTTTATTTAGCTGTTTAAAAAAAACACAAGAGGGGTAGCAGGAGAGAGAGAGAGAGAGAAAGAGGAGGGGGGAAGAGAGAGAGAGAGAGACAAAATGCAGTTGAGAACAATTTGGAGAACTGGCTGATCTTTATTATTTTCTCTGAGTTTTAAATATTTTCCTGACTGAACCTGTTTCTAGATGAGTTTCAATCTCTTTTTGGTTTTCCCAAATGTTTACTTTGGGAGTCAATTCTGCAAGACAACACAAAAGAAAGAAGTGATATTCAAATTGTTAGAAGAAATATCCATCTGGTTCAGTTCCAAGCCATCTAAGAAAGGCATTGGAAATAAAATGGAGGCTGATTGGAAAGATGGTTTATTGATGAAGCAGAAGCAGAAGCAGAAGCAGAAGCAGAAGCAGATGGGTGGTTCTGGGCCACTGACCACATGGAGTTGAGAGTAAGGGGTTTTTATACCTTCTCTTGGGCTTTGCACTTGAGCTTCCTGTTCCTGTGCAAGAACATGTATTCTATTGGCTGTTGTAGGGGTTATGTAGGGGTCGTAGCTGGCTCTATAGGTTGTCTAAGTTTAGTTGAAGTTTCTGAAGGTGATGCAATGTCCTTAGGAGATTGTGCAATCTAATGAGCTTTTAGTTGGTTAATTAATCCTATTATGTCCTGAAGGATCATGTCTTAATCACTTTACCCTGGGGCTGAAAGTCTTTTGTTTTGTAGATAGGATGGCCCAGTCTTTCTTTGTTGTTGTTAGTTGCCAAGTCGTGTCCGACCCATTGCAACCCCATGGACAACGTTCCTCCAGGCCTTTCTGTCCTCTACCATCCTCTGGAGTCCATTTAAGCTCATGCTGACTGCTTCAGTGACTCCATCCAGCCACCTCATTCTCTGCCACCCCCTTCTTCTTTTGCCCTCAATCATTCCCAGTATTAGGCTCTTCTCCAGTCTTTCTTAATGGACACAAAATATTTGCTGGGGGTAGGGAGCTGGAGCTTTGAGTTTCTGTCTCCCTTAAAAAAATTTATTTCTCTTTTAGGGGAAATATTTTATCCTGCCTTCTTTTAAATATTCCTCAAAACATTTCATTCTTCTAGGAAGGGGGGGAGTGGCTTCTCATATAATACTTTCCTATATTACCAGTCAAAACCATGGAGATCATCCGTATTAGTGTTTCACTTGCTACTATGTCATCCTGTTCACTGAGGTCAAAGCAAAGGGCCTTACCTGCTCTTTATTTCTCCTTTTCTCGTTATTCATCCAAGATCCCTTCTAGCGGACTTGCACTTAAAGCTCTGCTAATCAGGGAATCAGGGGTTTGAAGGTGTGGTTGTATATTGCTAAGCAACTGGGGGCGATAGGTAGGGCTGGACAACTGGAGAACGAGTCCTGAGGTTGCCTAGCAACTGCCGTGTATTTTCTACCCTCGGATGTACAGTGATCCATCAAAGGAGTCCAAATGCAGGTGGAAAACAGAGCAAGGGACAAATGTTACAGTGCAAGCTCTACCACTTTTGCACATGGCCACAACACACACACACACACACAGGTGAATACAGGACAGGACTTGTGGTTCAATGGCAGGATGCTGCTTTTGTCATTTGTGGCTCCCGGTGTTTTTTTCTCCTGTGGGAAATGGGTCCAAATGGCTTTTTGAGTGTTTAAGTTTGCAGACCCCTGCCCTGTGCTACTGTTAGCAGAATTTAACATCTCTCAAAACCCTCCCTTCCTATATTGATAGGTATAGAAAATGAGGGTTCTGGTTTCTTCCTTTTTTTGCATGTGGGTCTTGAGTCACTTTGAGCGTCCTGATTACTTCATATAAAATCTGAGTGATATAAATGAAATAGTTACCGCGTAAATGATCTGACGTGATGAAAAATGCAAGACAAAAACCTCTTCGCAGTTCTACAAATACACCTTTTAAAAAATAATATATAGGCTTTGAAATTCCACCATCTGCAAGATGTTTTATGTCCCAGTATGTAATTCCACCTTGCTGGAATTATGTCTTTTCCATGTGGCAGTCAAGGATCAAATAAGGAGGGGGACGTAGGTCTTCAGCTACCACAAATTCCTGAAGTCACATCCTGAATCAAAATGAAACAAAACCCAGTTACTAACTCTTGTCAGAGGAAACCTTAATCACACATCCAGTTCTATTTTAGAATTGGATTAGAGTTGCTCAGGAGTCAATTCTTCCTTTAGCCTGGACAAATTTGACACATTCTGACATTTTCTGTGCCAGTGCGGTTCCTATATTTTGTGCGACTTGATGAATGACAACTCAAGCTACAACAGCACCATGTAGCAGACCAACTAACATTTCTTTTTCTTCTTAAGTATGTCATACATCCAAGCCAGTTCAGGCTTTGTCATGTCATGATGAAGTTAGTAGTTTTGGTCTGCTCCCTCAGTACTTCTAGTTTTTGAAATCATCCTTCTCCCATCCCCTTTCTCCTCCTCTTCCCTCTCCTTCTCCTTCCCCTTAATTTCTCCAATCCCCTTCATTTCCCTCTCCTCCTCCCTCCCCTTCCACTTACTTTTGTGCCCTCCCTCTCCCCCTCCTCCCCACTCCTCCCTCTCCCCCTCCCCCTCCCCTTACTTTCTCCATTCCCCCTTTCTCTCCTTCCCCTTACTTTTGCCCCCTCCCTCTCCCCATCCTCCCCATCCATCCTCACTCCCTCTTCCCCCTCCTCCTCCCTCTCCTTTCCCTTACTTTCTTCCCTCCTCCTCCCTCTCCTCCTCCGTACTTTCTCTCCTTCCCCTTCCTCTCCCCACCCTCCTCCCTCTCCTTACCCTTACTTTTGCCCCTTCCCTCTCCCTGTCCTTCCCATCCATCCTCTCCCCTTCTTCCCCCTTCGCCTCCCTCTCCTTCCCCTTATTTTCTCCCCTCCCCTCCTCCCCCTCCTCCCTCTCCTTACTTTTGCCTTCTTCTTCTCCTCATCCTCCCTCTCCCTCTCTGCCTCCTTCTCCTCTCTCTCCTTCCCCTTCCTTTCTCCCTTCCCCTTCCCCCTCCCTCTCCCCCTCCTCCCTTTCCCTCTCCTCCCTCTCCCTTTCCCCTTCCTCCTCCTCCTCCTCCTCCTCCTCCAAGAAAGAAACAGAGGTGACAGTATTGTCATTAAGACTCCTTGGGCACCTTAGATACAGCTTCATCCCCTGTTCCATCCTTGCCAGATCATCTAGCCAGATAAGTGGTCATGAAACCTTGGAGCTGTTCTCCAGCTCCATTGAAACATCAGTGCTGGAGAAAAAGATTTGGTGTATACTGTTCTCACACTGAGGATGTCACTAATGCCTGTCAAATATTATGTTGCCGAAAGTAGAGTTTGGCCACCTCTAGGTCCACTTTGCTTACTTGGTTAGAGTTGCATGCCCATCCAAGGCCATTCTCAAAGGCCTTTTGTTGCTGCTGGTGAAATCATTTTATTGACCCACACCACTTTATTTACAGATCTCTGATGACATCGTTGCCCTCAGACAGTGTAATGTCACATTGGTGGCCTTCACGGCCTGCTTAGAAGCAGTGTAGAATTACAATGAGGAACAAAACTTCCTTTGATTAATTGTTTTCCATATTTCTCTATGTAGCTGCATTAAGTTCTAAATGATGGTCTCGTCCTCTTCCCTTCCTTCCCTTCCCTTCCTCCCTCCCTCCCTTCCTTCCTTCTTCCTTCCCTCTCTCCCTCCCTCCCTCCATCTCCTCATCCTTCCTTCCTTCCCTCTCCCTCCCTCTCTCCCTCCCCCTCCTTATCCCTCTGTCCTTTCTTCCCTCCCTCCATCTCCTCATCCTTCCTTCCTTCTTCCCTCCCTCCCTCCCTCCTTCCCTCCTCCTCCTTCTCCTCCTCACCCCTCCCTTTTTCCTCCCTCCCTCCCTTCCTTCTCTCCCTCCCTCCCTCCACCTCCTCATCCCTTTCTTTCCTTCTTTCTTTCTTTCTTTCCTTCCTCCCTCCCTCCTTCCCCCCTTCCTTCCCTCCCTCTGCCTCCTCATCCCTCCTTCCTTTCCTTCCTCCTTTCCTCCCTCTCTCCTTCCTTCTTCCCCTTCCTTCCCTCCATCCCTCCCTTCCTGAAGGGAAAATCTCCAGCAATTCCTTGCTCCTTTCATTTTATTATATTTATACCAGTGGCAGAGGCACCTGCTCCTGACATCTGAGACCGTTTGGATGATATAACCAAGAACCAAAATAGTAACAACCCTCTGGGCCTTCATTATCAACCATGTGAAGCTGCTGTGGGGCTGCCAAGTCAAACAATAATTCCACCCACCGAGAAATAAATATTCCCAAGACAGCAAGCGATCGCTGGTGAGAATAGAAAGAGGCTGGCAGAAGAAACTCCTGTTGTTTCTAAGGAAGACATGGTATCTAAACATCTCTGCACATTACTTTCTCTAGCCACCATTATCTGGGGACAATGCACGCAGATAAGAAGAATATTAGGTTCCCTGTTTCAGTATTTGCCTGCTTATATTACGTATGAAAGTTTGCTGAGATACAATGCAGCATCAAAAGCCCCAGAGCAAGAGCCCCCTGTTCAGTTTTATGGGATACAATGTTTTGGCTCTAACTGAAAAGACTTAACATGCCTTCGTTGACTCAAAAGCTAAGCAATGTCAGATCTGATTGGTACTTAGATAAGAGGCCACCATCAGAAAATCCCAAAGGAACAGACTAAACAGGGAGTTTTAAAAAATCCAAAAGAAGGACATTACAGAAGAGTTAGAATAACAGAGTTGGGAGGGACCTTGGAGGTCTTCTAGTCCAACCCCCTGCTCTGGTGGGAAACCCTATTCTATTTGAGCCGAGGTGGCGCAGTGGTTAGAGTGCAGCTACTTCAGCTGACTGCTAGTTCAGCAGATCAGCAGATCAAATCTCACCAACTCAAGGTTGACTCAGCCTTCCATCCTTCCGAGGTGGGTAAAATGAGGACCGAGATTGTTGGGGGCAATATGCTGATGCAATATGTTAATATGCAATATGCTATATGCTAACTTTGTAAACCGCTTAGAGAGGGCTGTAAAGCACTTCGAAGCGGTATAGAACTCTAACTAATAATAAATAAATAAATATTTCAGACAAATGATTGTCCAATTTTTTTTTTTTAAAAAAAAACTTCCAACCACGAAGTTTAATGAAAAGGACTAGGGGAGACATGATAGGAGTCTTCCAATATCTCAGGGGCTGCCACAAAGAAGAGAGAGTCAAGCACCTGAGGGTAAGACAAGAAGCAACGGGTGGAAACGAATCAAGGAGAGAAGCAACTTAGAACTAAGGAGAAATTTCCTGACAGTTAGAACAATTAATCAGTGGAACAACTTGCCTCCAGAAGTTGTGAATGCTCCATCTTTTAAAAAGATGTTGGATAACCATTGGTCTGAAGTGGTGTAGGGTTTCCTGCCTAAGCAGGGGGTTGGACTAGAAGACCTCCAAGGTCCCTTCCAACTCTGTTATTCTATTCTATATTGATGGACAAAATGACAAAACAAGCAAAAGAACTGCATCAAATTGGAGGGAAGAATCTCCCGGCAAAGAGCATAATCCCTCTTATTCCAAATGCCTTGTTTGTTATTGCCACTCTGATTTCTATTAATCTGTTGTTGTAGGATAGTTCAGCAAACAGTTTAAATCGTGGATTGCCTACACATTGTGCCCAGTGCATTGGTGACGAGTGGTAACCTCTCAACGTTGCCATGGCAACATTTCTTCTTCCTGTTTATATTGTGCGGGCGAACGAAAAAGGGAGAGCCATATGCTGCCAATTGCACCTTGTCTCTCTGCCTCTAGCGAGGATGAGAATAATTCATTTACTAATGAAAGCTGCTACCGCTGTTACTATTGCTATTACAATCCTCTTAGGCTCTTTCTGTTTGAGGCTAGAATTTATCCAGCGTTTGTAAGTTACTAAAAGACATTTCCTCACCAGTGATATATGATAACATCTTCCCAGCATGACTCAGCCATCACTGAAATAATAGACAGTCTGTCTTCACTGCTGTTATTTTGATGTAATGATAGTTAGATGACCAGTGATGGGTTTCAAAAATTTTCACAACCAGTTCAGTGGGCGTGGCTAGGTGGGGGCATGTGACTGAGTGGGCGTGGCCTACTTGACATTACTCACACCCATGCCCACTCAGTCACATGACCCCCCCACCTAGCCATGCCCACTGAACCGGTAGTGAAAATTTTTGGAATTTCCACCTATCTACCCCTGCCCTCCCTTCGCCCCCATTTCCCCTCCTTTAGCGGACCTGGCCCTAGCCCCACTTCCTCCTCCACCACCGCCTCTTTGTTCGGGTTGCTTACCTACCTCCGGAAGGCAAGCTGACTGGAGTTTTTGGTGTTCCCCAGCCACAGGCCGCCAAAAAGTACCAGAGGTCGTGGAAAAAGCTGCTGCCATCACCGCCATGTTCTTCGCGCATGCGTATCCCATAGGACTTGCAAGGCAATGGGATGCACGTGCGTGAATAACATGGTGGGCGGGGCAAGCGAGCGGCAACTGGGGGACTGGTTCGGGGGCATGGCCAGCTGGCCATTGCTACTGGTTCGGCAACCTTGGCCAAATTTCCGTACAGCAAAGTACACATTTTGGACAGAGGGGACCTCTAGGTTGAACGAGTGGTCAAAAAGGCCATCTATTCAAAATTGAACAACCTTCTCTCAACAGAAGGGGAGGGATACGACATCATCTATCTCCAGTTTACAACACAGTCCTTTCAGCAGTTCCAAGAAGGTTCCATACCCATTTGCACTACTCAGGTCACCCTGAGAATGCAGATAAACCTCCAAGTGGCCTCAATGACTGTCTAAAAGAATACACATGACCAAATTTTTTGGAGTATAAGACACACTTTTTTCCACCCTAAAAGTGGGTGAAAATTTCAATGAGTCTTATACAGTGAATGTTATGGTGGGGGTAGGGGGGTTGGTGTGGCACCAATCAGCTGTTCTAGAATGGGCTGCAGTGGTGGTGAACAGGCCACGGCGGCGGCAAATGGGCCACAGCGAACGGTCCACAGCGGCGGCCAGCGGACCACACTGAATGGGCAGTGGTGAACGGGCTGCACCAAATGGGCCATGGCAGCAGTGAACGGGCAGCGACAAATGGGCCGCAGTGGCAGCAAACAGGTGGCGGCGAACGGGTGGCGAATGGGTGGCGGCAGTGAACAGGCCGTGGCAAATGGGCCGTGGCAAATGGGCTGCAGCAAATGGACTGCAGCAAATGGGTCAGATGAATACCAGTTGGATGCTGGGAGGCAGAGGCAGGTTTTTTTTTTCTTGTTTTCCTCCCCAAAAAAGCTAGGTGCATTTTATAATCCGGAGCATTTTATACTCTGAAAAATACGGTAAATTCTTCCATTCCCCACCATCCAGTCAGAGCTGAAGAAGCTTCTTGAATGAGAAGCTAAACGTCTTCAAAGAAAAACAACTGAGCCTGGATAGCTCAGCAGACTAATGCATTGTAATTTAACTCCAGCTGTCTGCAATTAGTAAGTTTGAATCTTGCCAGGCTCAAGGTTGACTCAGCCTTCCATCCTTTCTAAGGTAGGTAAATTGAGGACCCAGATTATGGGGGCAATAAGCTGACTTTGTATAAATATACAAAAGTATGAAGGCTATTGCTTAACGCACTGTAAGCCGCCCTGAGTCTCCGGAGAAGGGCAGCATATAAATCAAATTTTTTAAAAAAACAAGCAAGTCCAGTTGCCTCTTGAAAAAGCCCCTTTGGGACCTTCATCCTTCAGAATCTACCATGTAACAAATATGTTCTTCAAATCCAACGTGGACAGGACACAATTTCAAGCAGAGAACATCTTCAATTAAAGAATCTCTGCTAACAGGGAAACAATAAGCTGCTTTATAAGACATTTAAGAACACAGAAGACGGGGTATTAGATTCTTACAGAACAAGCTGATCCTTTAATACTTCATTGATTGCTCCCCAAATTATGAATCCAGTGTTTTAAACTGAGACCATAATTATCTTCTATAAAGATCAAAGGAATAACCATTGTGAATTCACTCATGAATAGATTTCTATCACACCTTTATTTTGTACAACTCGAGGAAGCTCACATAATGCCCTCAGCTCCTATTTTCAACACAACATGTGGATTGGGCTGAGGGACAGTCACCCAACTGTCCTCTTTTGCAGATCTAATAAAATCTTAAAAAGAGACTTGCATGAAGCCTTGAAGAAATCCTGAGTTGCATTAACAGAGGGATACAATCAAGATCAAGTGAGGTACTAATATCACTCTATAAAGCCTTAGTAAGACCACACCTAGAGTACTGCATCCAGTTTTGGTCACCACACTATAAAAAAGATGTTGAGACTCTAGAAAGAATGCAGAGAAGAGCAACCAAGATGATTAGGGGACTGGAGGCTAAAACATAAGATGAACGGTTGCAGGAACTGGGCATGGCTAGTCTAGTGAAGAGAAGGACCATGATAGCAGTCTTCCTATATTTGAGGGGCTGCCCCAGAGAGGAATGGGTCAAACTATTCTCCAAAGCACCTGAAGGCCAGACAAGGAACAATGGATGGAAACCAATCAAGGAAAGATTCAACCTAGAAATAAGGAGAAATTTTCTGGCAGTGAGAGCAATCAACCAATGGAAAAGAAATTGCCTTCAGAAGTTTTGGGTGTTCTATCACTGGAAGCTTTCAAGAAGAGACTGGGTTGCCATCTATCAAAAATGGTGTAGGGTCTCCTGCTTGGGTGTGGGGTTGGACTAGATGACCTACAAGGTCCCTTCCAACTCTGTTAATCTGTTAAAAAAAATCTGTGTGATGGGAGATGGTGACTATTCTCCTGCTTATCACCTTCTCAGAAGCATCTGGCCACTGTAGAAACAGCTGGTGTGAAGTCATAATTTGTTGATCTAATCCTGCATCCTGCAGGGTCCCATTTAAAATGTTGTGATGCTCTCAGCCACTCCTAAATAAATGTTTCAGGATGTTTGTTTAAAGTTAGCAAGAAGCTCTGTCTGTTCTATCTGAATTCAACATGTTAATTTAGCCTCTGTGATAAATAGCAGACTTTGAAACAGACCTTCCTTCCTGTCTTCCTTCCTTCCTCCCTCCCTCCCTCCCATCCTTTTCTCCTTCCTTTTCTCCTTCCTCTACTCCTTCCTTCCTTTTCTCCTTCCTTTTTCCTTTTCCCCTTCCTTCCTTCCTTCCTTCCTTCCTTCCTTCCTTCCTTCCTTCCTTCCTTCCTTCCTTCCTTCCTTCCTTCCCTCCCTCCCTCCCTCCCTCCCTCCCTCCCTTCCTTCTATCCACCCACCCACCCAGAATTATAATCTACAAATAGGGCAGGCTTTCTTAAGGCCTGATTTTTCACACAGAATTCAGGTTCAGGATTAAGTTTGACTTTTAGTTCATAGATACCTCAGTACCCTTAAGGAAGTTGCAAATCTAAAAGTGCAAAACGGAAATTTCAGAACAAATGATACAAAAGAGGAATGATGCAGAAGAAGAAATATATCACCTTTTCTCAAAAACTATCATTGGAAGCAGGATCTATCTTCTCGAGGTAGGACTAGATGACCTCCAAGGTCTCTTCCAGCTCTGTAATTCTGTTTTCTGTGGGTTGGTTTGATGCTGATCATTAATTCTTTTACCCTCTGGACACACAGCCTTATAGAACTGTCAACCATCACTCGTGTTTCCCATTTCTGCCCTGTCTTGATAGCTGGTGTGTTGTCTAAAGTTGGAAATAAGAGGGAGCTGAACCAGCCCTTTTCCCAGGAGACACAATCAGATTCCACCGCTCAGTAGCACTCACTTATCTTTTGGATTTCTGCCTTGGGACTTGATTTTGTCAGGCAACTCTTGGAAGCTCAAGCAAATCCAAACAACAACTAAAAATAATGCACCACCAGGGACCCATTAGAATCTAAGTGCCACATTTCATTCTCTCCCAGGAATCATCCAGGATTGAAATGATTGGTGCCACATGGTCACAGGTGGCCAGCAGTTTCATGTTTGAGATAAACACCTCCCAGGTTCCAGTGAAAATCTTATGGTGTAGTGTCTAAAACTCCTCCTGCATCAAATACCCAGTACTCTCCAACATCTTCATCAATGACTTGGAGGGGATAGATGGAGGAATCATCAAATTTGCAGATGACACCAAGCTGGCAGGAATAGCCAACACTCCAGGACAGGGGTCTCCAACCTTGGCAACTTTAAGACTTGAGGACTTCAACTCCCAGAATTCCTCAGCCAGCAAAGCTCCAGGAGATAGGCTTAAGATACAGAAGGATCTTGACAGACTTCAACATTGGGCGCTATCTAACAAAATGAAATTCAATGATGAAAAAAGTAAAGTTCTACATTTAAGCAAGAAAAACAAAATGCACAGGCACAGTATATGTGGTACCTTGCTCGATAGTAGTAACTGTGAGAGGGATCTTGGAGTCCCAGTGGACAACCATTTAAATATGAGCCAGTGCTGCAGCTGCCAAAAAAGCCAACACAGTTCTAGGCTGCATAAACAGAGGAATAGAATCAAGATTACGTGAAGTGTAAATGCCACTTTATAATGCCTTGGTAAGGCCACACTTGGAATACTGCATCCAGTTTTGGTTGCCACAATGTAAAAAAGATGTTGAGACTCTAGAAAGAGTGCAGAGAAGAGCAACGAAGATGATTAGGGGACTGGAGGCTAAAACATATGAAGAACTCTAGACTGCTTACAACAATACAAAAAAAAAAAAAAAAAAAAAAAACCCAACCCCACACAATATAAAACAGAACATAGAGTAATAGGATTGGAAGGGACCTTGGAGGTCTTCTAGTCCAACCCATTGCTCGAGCAGGAGAGCTTGTCCTGTCTCTTCTTGAGAATCTCCATTGATGGAGCACCAACAATTTCCAATAGATGATAAGAACATTAAAACCACGATGGTGCAGTGGTTAGAATGCAGAGTATTGCACGCGAAGTTCAATCTTGATGGGGCTCAAAGCTGACTCAGCTTTCCATCCTTCCAAGGTGGGTAAAATAAGGACCCAGATTGTTGGGGGCAACATTTGTAAAGTACTCAAAGAGTGCTGTAAAGCACTATAGAGCGGTATATAAGTCTAAGTGCTATTGCTAAAAACATCCAGCATTGAGAATTAAAACCTTAAAAATTACCAAAAAACTAGATAAAAAGGGACCAACACCTAAGTATGCTGGAGGTGGAACATTCTCATACTCGATTAAGCACCTCTTAAGTGGGAGACAACTTCTGGAGGCAAGCCATTCAACTGATTAATTGTTCTGCCAGGAAATTTCTCCTTAGTTCTAGATTGGATCTCTCTTTAATGAGCTTCCACCCATTGCTTCTTGTCTTGACCTCAGGTGCTTTGGAGAATAGGTGAACCCTTGCTTCTCTGTGAGAGCCCCTCAAATAGCTTAGACTTATATACCGCTTCACAGTGATTTATAGCCAGTGGTGGGTTTCAGAAATGCTTACCACTGGTTCACCCCTGTGCGCATGCTTGCTTTCACGCATGAACTTTGCCTTCCATGCATGTGCTTTGCTTGTGCACTCACCTTCTGTGCATACACCCGGCCTCAAAAACATGGCTAAATAGAATGTCTTTACCCCCAAACCAGTCCGAACCGGCTGAATACCACCTCTGTTTATAATCCTTTCTAAACGGTTTACAGAGCCAGCATATTATCCCGACAATCTGGGTCCTCATTTTACCCACCTCGGAAGGATGGAAGGCTGAGTTAACTTTGAGCCAGTGAGACTCGAACTGCCAAATGGCTCACAGCCATCAGTCAGCAGAATTAGCCTGCAGTACTGCATTCTAACAACTGTGCCACTATGGCTCACTGACTGCTATCATATCACCCATAGTCCTTCTTTTTATTAGACTGATAAGACTTTTCCTGAATCCTCTTCTCTTTCATTTTGCAATGAATAGTTTTCTTACTAATCATTTATGTCTCCTGATAAAGAGTTAAAGAATAAGATGGAAAATAAGAATAAAAGCTATTCTGAAGCAGGTGGCAAGTCTGTAATCCATCATACCTATCTTGAAAGTTCTGCACTGGTTGTCAGTTGCTTAGTGGGCAAAGTCTAATCTACTGACCCTTAAAGATCTAAACAGCCGAGGACAACCCAAGAGGATATAATGTGCTGATTATATCAACATTATAATGCAGACTTCAAAAATGTATATTTCTTTTCCATCCCAAGCTTCACATTTCACATTCAGTGAATAACATGTAACCATGGGGGCTGTAGGAGAAGAAGAGACAGAGCCTGGGGGAACAGTCAGAGAGGACTCAGCCTAGAATAGTTATGGGTCCACAAATGCTTCAAGTCCATCCCCCTTGAATTCTGTTGACTTGTTTTTTTTCTCTTTTAATGACCGTGTAATCCTTTGCATTTAGGTGGAGTCAGGGCAACTTGAAAAAAGCTTCAGCGTTTACTGGCCAGATCCCCTTCATGACACCTAGGTGGTCACAGCAATTACTCATTGCACCCAGAGAGAGAAATATCTGCTACTATCTAGGACCGAACTCACAGCCTCCTGATTGTGAGGTGAGAGCTCCATCTCTAGAATACCCCACCACTCATAATTCTGTTGCCTCTTATCTGGTGCTAACTTACTGTATTTTTCAGAGTATAACACACACCTTTTTACGCTATCTTGATTCCAAAAGAAAACGTTTTCAGGTGGCAGACCCGCAATCCCCTTCCCAATTCCAAACATGGGGTGTGCAGAGGCTAAAAAGAGTGCATTGCATTTCAGGCGGCGGATCTGGCCAGGAGGAAAGAGAAGGTGAGTCTGTTGAGAAGGAGGACTAGGGTGCGCAGCTCTGCAATGTGCAATGGGAAAAAAAGCATTTTCAGGCAGCAGCACTGTGATCCCCTCCCTGAATCCAAAATGGTTCCCGGTTCTCTGCTGCACATTGGAGGGGAATTGGCTGCCACCTGAAATGTGGCTCTGAGAATTGCATTGGGGAATCCGGCCAACAGGCAGCGGTGGCTGGAAAGGAGGGACATTTCACTTTAGGGGCTCCTGTTCGGCTCGGCTTCTGGGCATGGAAAGGGCTTAGGCAGCAGTGGCGGGGGGTCCTCACATTGCTGGGGAGTGAAGTCATTGTGACCATTTTCTGCCCTGAGCCACCCGCTAGGCGGCCAGGGGGGTGACCAGCTGCGAATCGTAGGGCCCGCCTTGTTCACCAAAGTCGCTGGGCAGATTCCCCCCCCCCACAGACCATCCCAAAGAGGTTTGTTCCTCAGGCTGTGCTCTGACCCTCCCCTCAGAGCATGCGAGGGGTCTCTTTGGGGCAAAGCGAGATCACAGGAGCACCCCGATAAGTTTTCTGGAAAAGAACTTCTCAGTAATCGACACCCTCTTTCCCAGCCGAATCTCTGAGGCACCTCTCGCTTGCAGGAGGAGGAGGAGGAGGGCGGCGTAAAGCAGCTCCACCTTAAATGCTGGTAGGCAGAGATGGAATTCTTTTTTTCTTGTTTTCCTCCCCTAAAATTAAGGTGTGTCTTATACTCTGGTGTGTCTTATACTCCGAAAAATATGGTAATCCTGACCCTTAGCTGATTAGATGCTTGTCTATAGGCATGAGTAATAAATCCTCTTAACTGGAACTTAATGCACGGTCCTGATATTTTGCACCTGACATGGTCCTTGGTGCCCTCTGAATTTAACGGTTTCATTAGGCTAGAAAGCTTGCTTTTTGTATTTGTGTCAGAGGTTCTTAGTGTTGTGACTGATTGTGAAGAGAGGGACCAGGGGAGGCATGATAGCAGTCTTCCAATATTTGAGGGGCTGCCACAGAGAGAAAGGGGTCAAGCTATTTTCCAAGGCACCTGAAGGCCAGACAAGGAATAATGGATGGAAACTGACCAAGGAGAGATTCAACCTAGAAATAAGGAGAAATTTTCTGACAGTGAGAATAATCAACCCGTGGAACAAAAGTTGCCTTCAGAAGTTGTGGGAGCTTCATCACTTGAGTCTTTCAAGAAGAGATTGGACTGCCATTTGTCAGAAATGGTGTAGGGTCTCCTCCTTGGGTGGGGGTTGGATTAGATGACCTACAAGGTCCCTTCCAACTCTGTTAATCTGTTATCTGTTTTCTTTCACAACCTTTCCTAATATATTGTCTTTTATAAATGTTGGACAGAAGTCCCATAATCCTGAAATAGATGACTGCAAATTCTGAGAGATGTATTCCAATAGATTCCAATAGAGAGCGATAGGTTTTCATCCTAAGAGTGCTCCCAAAATTAATTGTAAGAAAGAAAGAATGGTCCCAGATGTGTATTTATTTATTTATTTATTTATTGGTTCGATTTATATGCCGCCCTTTTCCGGACACTCAGGGCGTCTTACAATGCGTTAAGCATTGTACCTATGAATGAGCTTACAAATAGTTTTTCATATGTTCATTTTGTCCATAATATGATCAAAATAGCCTTGGAATATCAGATAAATTCTTTGCTATCTTATTAAAAGGGATCAGAAAGGTGTACTGACATGTATGCTTCCTGCTCAACTTTTGATATTAAAAAAAAAAGACTCTGCAAACATGAACAAGTTTCTTCAGTTAAAGAAAGAAAGGTCATTACACTGACTAATTTGGTCAGGTCACCATGGAAAATAAAAGAGCAGAGGACCGAGCCAAAAGGCATGGCAGATCCAAATGAATTTT